GTTGCAGAAGCCGTCGCCATGGGAGACGCTGCGGAAGAGATGGGCTCATAAGACATAGCTCGCCGGTGGCGGCGTAAATAGAGGCGGCGGCGGCTGTGGTGTAAGCCTAGCGGCGCCCATCGTAGGAAAAAAAATAGGGTTTTAATGTGCTCTTGATACCATGTGAGAATAATGGAACAGGATGCTCTCTAAGGAGCCCTGGTAGATATATTTACAATAGGAGAGTTTAATTTAAAGTACAATACTAATGGTCTAATAATTCTATTAGTTCTATGGTCTTGCATTGTTTTGAGTTTCAAGATAAATTATCTTGAAGTGATTATTGTCTTAGATTGTTGAAACTCGATCACTCGTTCAGAGCAACTGGAGGAGAATATGTTTTTAGATTGATTTTCAAAAATAAATTTTTGATTTAGTGAAAAACGTACTTGTGATTTTGGAAGCCTATAATTTTGATAGTTTATTATGATCATTATATTTACCGATAATTGGGAATGATGTGTTGTGACTTATATAACTCAGCATTAAGTAATACGGAGTACTATGTACGTAGTATGCTTTGTGTGGACATTAGTTTGTTCCAAAAAGGTTTGTCATTTCAAAAAATTTGAACCATAAATTTGTTTAGTATGAAATTTTATTTTTTATACTTTTACGAAAGTACTTTTGACAAAGAACCATAATTTATATTATATAATTTTCATATAATATAAATAATTTTTATATTACAATGGATTATTATTTGAATAGTAATGGAAACCCTAGAGAGAGAAGCTCTGGCGATTCTTGAATTCTGATTGTGTATGGCGGACAAGACGGTTGCGGCGGCCCCTCCGCCGGCCACCGGAAGTGCTTGGAACGGGGGGAAATCTTTTGCTGCGGTTGTGGCGGATCACCCTGATCCCCCTTTTTCTAAGAAGAATTTAGAGAGGTTTAAAGGTATGCCGATGGTAACATTTCCAGAAGAGGAAATTCTGATCCTCGCTGCTAAACATAGATTATCCTTGGTTGGTTATTTCTTTAGAGATCGGCCATCTATGGCCTCTTTGCGTAAAGCTTTTGACCTAATTGGTTTTAAAGGCGCCGTTCATCTTGGTCTATTGAATCGAAAACACTTATTAATTCGATTTGATGTTGAAGAGGATTATATCCGATGCTGGAATAGACAGATTTGGGATGTATTTGGTAGCACCATGCGTGTTACCAAATGGACACCGGATTTTAGGCCAAATGTGGAATCGCCCATTGTTCCAATTTGGCTAACTTTGGAAGGCCTGCCTATCCATCTACATGATAGGAGAGCTTTATTTGATATAGTCGGTTTGATTGGTAATCCCCTTAAAATTGATGTTGCTATAGCTAATCTATCCAGGCCCTCTTTAGCTAGAGTTTATGTGGAGGTTGACTTAACTAAAGAGATGCCTAATAGGGTTTGGATTAACTGTGGGTCTAGTGGTTTTTCACAGCCTGTGATATATGAAAACAAACCACTCTATTGCTCTCAATGCTTGCACCTGGGACATTCTGTGGCATCATGCCCTATGAAGAGCAAGTCAGATAAGGTAAAGGTAACGGATCCGGCCAAGATTCCTGAAAAGAATAAGGCCTCTGGTGGGGTTGACAAATGGATCCCTAAACATGGTCAGCCAAATTATGTCAAAACAGCCTCAACCCTAGCTATTACACATTCTAAGCAAGAAGTTTTAGATATTACAGACAAAGGGAAAACAAAAATGAATGAGGTTTGCATTGCTTCTACTTCAAAAGGTCCAGTCCATAGGATTGATGACTCTGATTCTGATATTGAAGAGATTGTCCTTGAGCAGCCACCTAATCTAACTGCCCTGTCAGACAATCAGCAACCTGGAAAATTGGAAGTGAACATATTAGAGAACATGCAACTGGAACCAAAATTCCTAGAGCATAAAAGAGCATTGGATGATTACAACCCGCTGAAAGAAATCCAGATGAATACATATGATCCAACTCTTTGTGCAAAAGGATATTCTTCTGATGGAGACTTGTGCTTCTTAGAAAACATTCAAAAATGGAAAGATGGTCAATCAGCTCTATCTAAAAAAGTGGCCAAGGTTATCAATAATATTAAGCATCCTAGTAATTCATGCATTGATGATTTACTAGCTGATATGGATAACAACATTAATGAGGAAGGATTCATTAAGGTAACTAGGAGAAGGAAAAAGCAACCTGCTTATCATAGCCCTGTTTCACCACGTTTCACAAGAGCTGCTGCAAAGAAGCTCTCGCATACTTTCTCTCAATGTTTATGATGAATTGTCTAATTTGGAATGTCCGAGGCCTTGTTTCTTCCTGTCCAAGGCTTACGGATCTCATTAGACAGTGGAGAATTAATTTTCTTGTGGTTATTGAGCCTATTGTGGATGTTACTAAGATTTCTAATTTATCTATGGACTTGGGTTTTAACAGTTATTTTTACTGCCCTAATAATAAAATTTGGTTGTTCTGGGACTCTCTATCTGTACAGATCTCTGACTTCACTTTTGGGAACCAATATATTCACATGAAGATTGCTGTTGAAAACTTTTGCTTCTGGTTTACTTCTATTTATGGGGCACACACCTATATTGAAAGAAGGATGCTTTGGGCCTTTCTTGCTAATTGGGCTGCTTCTAATTCTGATGCTTGGTTGGTGGGTGGTGATTTTAATGCTATTGTGTATCACAGTGAACACAAAGGGCTAACAACTCCTAACCTGACTAGTATGGTTGAATTCAAGGATTGTATAGTTGAATGTAATTTGGTTGATCTACCTTTTCAGGGCAGTTCATTCACATGGTCTGGTGTAAGGGCTAATGGTAGAGTTTGGAGAAGGTTGGATAGATTTCTTGTTAACTCTCAGTTTTTGGACTTTTATGACACAATTCATATTAATCATTTAAATAAAGCCTCCTTTGATCATAATCCTGTGCTCCTTAAATGTAAAAGACTGAAGACATAAGGACCTAAGGCTTTTAGGTTTCAGAAGATGTGGATTTCACATCCCAACTTTCTTGAAGTTGTTAAAGCTACCTGGGAATCTGCACCATATGGGGGTGGAGGGATGAAAGGGCTATGTATGAAGCTTAAAGAGCTTAAGAAGACACTTAAGAGGTGGAATAAAAATGTCTTTGGTAACATTTTTGAGGATGTCATTAAACTTGAAGCTGAAGTTCTACAAGCTGAGGAACAATTTGAAACTGACCCTACTATGGATAACAGAGAAGATTGGTCTTACAAACAAGCTCTTTTGCTTTCAAAACATAAACAGATACGTACTTTCTGGAAACAGAAAGCTCACATTAAATGGTTGAAGGAAGGAGACTCAAATACACAGTTCTTTCATTCATTTGTCAATATAAGAAGAAGAATGCAACAGATTCAATCCATCAAAGATTCTGAAGGTCATACCTGTTCAGATCCTGAGTCTATTGGAAAGGTTGCTGAAGATTATTTCTCAAAAATCTTTGATGAAGAACCTGTGAGTGATGTTGATGAGCTGCTTAAATACATTCCAACATTAGTTACCTGTTCAGATAATCAGATGCTAATGCAGATGCCTACTAATGAAGAGGTGAGATAGGCTGTTTTGGATCTGAATAAAAATGGGGCTGCTAGGCCTGATGGGTTTAATGGGAATTTCTTTAGATCTTGTTGGGAGATTGTGGGCAGTGATGTGGTGAGGGCAACTCAAGATTTTTTCATTGGCAATCATATTCCTAAATCTTTTGCTAGCACCCTAATTGTTCTCATCCCTAAGAAGGACAGACCATTATCTTTTGCTGATTTTAGACCTATCAGTTTGTCTAACTTTATCAGTAAGGTATGTACAAGATTGTTGGCTACCAGAATGACTTCTATTCTCCCAAAACTAATCTCTTCTGAGCAGGCTGGCTTTATGCAAGGAAGGGATATCAATGATCATATTTTGGTTGCTCAAGAGATGGCTAACTCTATTGATAAAAAAATAAGAGGCTCCAATTTAATTGTGAAATTAGACATGGCTAAGGCCTTTGACAGATTGTCTTGGACATATCTAAAGGGTGTGCTTATCAAGTTTGGGGTTTCAACTCAAATCACTAATCTGGTGATGAATCATCTTAAGGCAACTTACTTTTCTGTACTTATTAATGGAGTTCCTAGGGGTTTCTTTAAGCCTTCTAGGGGAGTCAAGCAGGGGGATCCCCGTTCTCCTTTTTTGTTCATCTTGACTTCTGAAGCTCTTTCTAGAGGCCTTAAATCTCTTATTTTCGCATCTTAGATTAAGCCCTATTGGATTGGCAAGTATGGACATCCAATTTCTCAATTGTGTTTTGCAGATGACATTCTCATATTTATTAATGGGGAGGCCAGATCATTGATGAATTTTAAATGATTCCTTGGTCTTTATCAGAGAGCCTCATGTCAAGCTATTAATTTTGACAAAAGTAATTTTGGTTGTGGCAAAACCTCACTATGTAAAATTAGAAGAGTTGAGAAGATCCTACAGATGACTAAGGTAAATCTCCCAATGAAGTATTTGGGCTCATACCTGCATAAAGGAATGAATAGGATTAATTTTTGCAATGATCTTATACATGCTTTTGATAAAAAGCTTACTGCATGGAAACAAAGAAACCTTAGTCAAGGAGGTAGAATTATTCTGATTAAACATGTCCTTAATACAATTCCCCAACATATTTTTGCTGTTGATAAATTACCAAGGTCTGTTATCAGAATTTTAGAGAGGAAGATGGCCCACTTTCTATGGGGACAGTCTAATTCCAAGAACAAATATCATTGGCTAAGGTGGAAGGATATTTGTCTACCTAATTCTGAGGTGGTCTGGGAATTAGATCAATAGTTGATATTGAAAAAGCATATTCTCTCAAACTATGGTGGAAATGGAAAAGTAATGATTCCATGTGGGCCTCCTTTTGTCATTCCAGATACCCTAGGGGACATAATATGACTCCTAAGAATATTGATTCTAATATCTGGAAGAGGATTTGTTCCATACATGAGACTGGAAGTTCATTAACTTCTCAAAGTAATGGTTATCTTGTATGGGTACCTGAAACTAGTGGCAGCTTCTCTATTTCCTCAGCTTTCCAAGAAATAAGAAGATCCAAGTCAGAAAAATTTTCATTCAAGCATGCCTGGCACAAAAAACAAACAGTTCAAATTCAGTTATTCCAATGGAAGGTCATTCATAGATTTCTTCCTTTTTCGGATAATAGAGCTAGATTTTCAGCTGCTATCTTTCCTTCTATTTGTCCTATATGTATAAAAGAATCAGACTTCATGGACCACGTTTTATATCAGTGCTCTTATGCTAAAAAGGTATGGAATCATTTCATGGGTGTCATGGAAATTCCTACCCCGGTTGGCAAAGGTTCTATTAGACAAATTTTTATGGCCTGGTGGTTAGAAGCTGGGACTAAATCCATGGGGGATATCTACAAGCATAATCTTCCAGGAATCATTGCTTGGCATATTTGGAAGGCCTATCATGGTCTGTGGAACTTGGATATTGCGATATAATGGTTGAATCTGATTTCTAGGTAGCAGTTTCAATGATTTCGGAAGGTAGCGTTGGTGGTCGATGGAGGAAAATGGTGGAGGATTTGAAGAGTTGGTCTGTGGAACGGAAGGTTGCTTTCAGACATATCTATCGGGAAGCCAATTGGTCCGCCCATTTTATGTCCAAATATTTTCCTGATGGAGGTGGAACTGTTTCCTATTTTCGATATGCTGAACTTCCTAATCAGGTTCGTAAGTCAATTTTAGCAGATAAATTAGGATTGGCTAATCTTAGGCTTTATTAATTGCCTGTCTTTTTTATTGTAACCCTTTGGTAAGGTTTGGTCCCCCAAAGGTTTTCTTTATATTTTTTGCTTTTGTGCAATTGTCTTTAATATGTTTTATCCCCTGTATTTCTGGAAGGGATGCCTTCTTGAGAGGTCTTGGTATGGCCCCCTCTCTTTTTTGTAATTTGTTCCTTTTAATTAATAAAATATGGCAAGTGTTCCCCAGCATTCGCCCCACCGATTTTTGTGCTTTACCTTCCGGGTTAAAAAAAAAATAATAATAATAATTTACAACAAAAAGTATAGTTGATCGAAATTTTGAACATGTCAAAGTTTTTTGAGATGGAGGTAGTGTGATAAAAAAGGATCGCTACTAAAGATGTTTTCTTTTGACTGACTTCATTCCTAGATCACATTAGACTTCCGTAGTTATAAAATACACAAAGACTATACATTTACCAAACCAGACCACACCAGTTTAGAGCAGACCAGCCAGACAAGACCAGCAAATTTCAGTTCAAAAGAAAACATCAAAAATAGATTGTTAGTGAATTGTGAATTCTATATTACTTTCATGGGTGTCTTCAAGGTAAAGTACTATTAAAAAAGTACTTCAAAAATAGATTGTCAAGTGTCAAACAGATTTTTAAGATTCGCTTAGTTTAGAGAATTTGAATGGTAGGATTTTATTTGTTTTAATAAGTTTTTTCTCAATATGTTAGTGGGCGCTTATAATATAAGTACTCCATTTGCCAAGAAAATCACCTTTAGACTTTAGTTTGGTATGCTTGTACACTTATCAAAATATAGAGAAGTAGGATATCTAAAAATCCACCGACTATTCTTACGAATCAAATTAGACATAGTTTTTTCCTTTTTTCGTTGTTAATTTTGGAGAAAGGAGTTCCTGCCTTGGAAATTAGACTGAGTATTATTACCATTGCATTTAAACCTGGTGCAAATAACATTGTGCCGAGCAATTGTACTAATTATGCATGAGATGTACTAATACTGAAATAATTATTCCATGAATTATAAACTAAACTTGTATTCAGTTTATAACCGTGTTAGAAAACATTGCACAAGTAAACTCATTAGGATTAACTGATTAGTGGGTTAAACAAATAATTGTAATTGATTTATCTTATTTTAAAAAATAACAGCTACTATGTCCCTATTTCCACAATGCCTGCTAATTGACTTTGGTCTAAACGGAATTATAAGTATACATATTCTAGTAAGAGAATTTCTAGAGCATTTAGAAATAATTACATGTCAAATTGCCAATGCGGGCGAAAAATGAAACAAGAGGTAAATTACAACAACAACATTCAAGCTTTAATCTCAAAAGATTTTGGGGTCGACTAACATAAATCGATCCATGATATCATCGATGCCAAAAGTGAAGACAGACAAGAAAAAAAACGAATACGATAAAGATAAATAAATATAGTTAAAGGTATATTATAAATATTTTTATGTATTTGTTGTCTGATGTAGAGAAAATACGTTCAAGGATATTAATTACGTTTAGTCTGAAAAAGAGACTAATGCAAACTTAGCAAATCAACGACCTGATATTATGCAATAAACAAGGCCTCACACCTCATTACACATAGGAAGATATGATCACAGTTTTGTAGATTCGTAAATTCTAGAAATAGTTAAACAAAGATTAATTCCTCTCGATAGTAAGTAGATATATGTTGTACCTCAAGAAATGATATTGATAAGACATTGTTATGAAAAACAACTTACCATATAGCCTAGAAGTTGACCCTCTCGGTACAAAAGAAAGGAAAACGAGATTGCTGGTCTCGGATATATTCCAAGGGACACACGAACAAATCAAAAACCTTGTTTTCAGAACCAACCCTTTAATGGTAACCAGGATGTTGGTGATATTAGTCGCCACATGTGATATGGTTTGAGCACGTTCTGCCAAGGAAGAGTTTGAGGGGCTGCATGCTGGTGTCCGGATGGAAGAAACTCCCAGCGACCCAACAAAGGTGGGTCCAGCGAAAGAAGGGACCGAGAAGGGCGGCGGCTCGAGAGGAACTCTGCACCGGGACTCTTGCTGACGAAGGGAACGTAGATGGAAGATGCTGAAATAGAGAATAGGGCCCGGAGTAGTGGCTAGGCGAGGCGAAGCCGGAGGAGATCGCCGGTGGTGTGATGCTTGCAGACTGAGCTGCAACAGCCGCGACGGAGGAAGAAACTTCTGCAGAAGCCGTCGCCATGGGAGACGTCGTGGAAGAGATGGGCTCAGAAGACATAGCTCGCCGGTGGCGGCGTAAATAGAGGCGGCGGCGGGTGTGGTGTAAGCCTAGCGGCGCCGATCGTTGGAAAAAAATAGGGTTTTAGTGTGCTCTTGATACCATGTGAGAATAAAGGAACATGATACTCTCTAAGGAGCCCTGGCAGATATATTTATAAAAGGAGAGTTTAATTTAAAGTACAATACTAATGGTCTAATAATTCTATTAGTTCTATGGTCTTGCATTGTTTTCAGTTTCAAGATAAATTATCTTGAAGTGATTATTGTCTGAGATTGTTGAAACTCGGTCACTCGTTCCAAGCAACGGGAGGAGAATATGTTTTTAGATTGATTTCCAAAAATAAATTTTTGATTTAATGAAAAACTTACTTGTGATTTTGGAAGCCTATAATTTTGATAGTTTATTATGATCATTATATTTACCGATAATTGGGAATGATGTGTTGTGACTTATATAATTCAGCATTAAGTAATACGCAGTACTATGTACGTAGTATGCTTTGTGTGGACATTAGTTTGTTCCAAAAAGGTTTGTCATTTCAAAAATTTTGAACCATAACTTTGTTTAGTATGAAATTTTATTTGTTATACTTTTATGAAAGTTCTTTTGACAAAGAAAATTTTCATATAATTTTTATATTATAAATAATTTCCAATAAAAAGTATAGTTGATCGAAATTTTGAAAATGTCAAAGTGTTTTGGGATGGAGGTAGTGTGATAAAACAGAATTGCTGCTAAAGATGTTTTCTTTTGACTGACTTCATTCCTAGATCACATCAGACTTCCGTAGTTATAAAATACACAAAGACTATACATATACCAAACCAGACCAGACCAGTTTAGAGCAGACCAGCCAGACAAGACCAGCAAATTTCAGTTTAAAAGAAAACATCAAAAATAGATTGTTAGTGAATTGTAAATTCTATATTACTTTCATGGGTGTCTTCAAGCTAAAGTACTATTAAAAAAGTACTTCAAAAATAGATTGTCAAGTGTCAACCAGATATTTAAGATTGGCTTAGTTTAGAGAATTTGAATGGTAGGATTTTATTTGTTTTCATAAGTTTTTTGTCAATATGTTAGTGGGCGCTTATAATATAAGTACTCCATCTGCCAAGAAAATCACCTTTAGACTTTAGTTTGGTATGCTTGTACACTTATCAAAATATAGAGAAGTAGGATATCTAAAAATCCACTGACTATTCTTACGAATCAAATTAGACATAGTTTTTTCCTTTTTTCGTTGTTAATTTTGGAGAAAGGAGTTCCTGCCTTGGAAATTAGACTGAGTATTATTACTATTGCATTTAAACCTGGTGCAAATAACATTGTGCCGAGCAATTGTACTGATAATGCATGAGATGTACTAATACTGAAATAATCATTCCATGAATTATAAACTAAACTTGTATTCAGTTTATATCCGTGTTAGAAAACATTGCACAAGTAAACTCATTAGGATTAACTGATTAATGAGTTAAACAAATAATCGTAATTGATTTATCTTATTTTAAAAAATAACAGCTACTATGTCCCTATTTCCACAATGCCTGCTAATTGACTTTGGTCTAAACAGACTTATAAGTATACATATTCTAGTAAGAGAATTTGTAGAGCATTTAGAAATAATTACATGTCAAATTGCCAATGCTGGCGAAAAATGAAACAAGAGGTAGATTACAACAACAAAAACATTCAAGCTTTAATCTCAAAAGATTTTGGGGTCGACTAACATAAATCGATCCATGATATCATCGATGCCAAAAGTGAAGACAGACAAGAAAAAAACGAATACGATAAAGATAAATAAATATAGTTAAAGGTAGATTATAAATATTTTTATGTATTTGTTGTCTGATGTAGAGAAAATACGTTCAAGGATATTAATTACGTTTAGTCTGAAAAAGAGACTAATGCAATCTTAGCAAATCAACGACCTGATATTATGCAATAAACAAGGCCTCACACCTCATAACACATAGGAAGATATGATCACAGTTTTGTAGATTCGTAAATTCTAGATATAGTTAAACAAAGATTAATTCCTCTCGATAGTAAGTAGATATATGTTGTACCTCAAGAAATGATATTGATAAGACATTGTTATGAAAAACAACTTACCATATAGCCTAGAAGTGGACCCTCTCGGTACAAAAGAAAGGAAAACGAGATTGCTGGTCTCGGATATGTTCCAAGGGACACACGAACAAATCAAAAACCTAGTTTTCAGAACCAACCCTTTAATGGTAACCAGGATGTAGGTGATATTAGTCGCCACATGTGATATGGTTTGAGCAAGTTCTGCCAAGGGAGAGTTTGAGGGGCTGCATGCTGGTGTCCGGATGGAAGAAACTCCCGGCGTCCCAACAAAGGTGGGTCCAGCGAAAGAAGGGACCGAGAAGGGTGGCAGCTCGAGAGGAACTTGCTGCACTGGGACTGTTTCTGACGATGGGAACGTCGATGGAAGATGCTGAAATAGAGAATAGGGCCTGGAGTAGTGGCTAGGCGAGGCGAAGCCGGAGGAGATCGCCGGTGGTGTGATGCTTGCAGACTGAGCTGCAACAGCCGCGACGGAGGAAGAAACTTCTGCAGAAGCCGTCACCATGGGAGACGCTGTGGAAGAGATGGGCTCAGAAGACATAGCTCGCCGGTGGCGGCGTAAATAGAGGCGGCGGCGGGTGTGGTGTAAGCCTAGCGGCGCCGATCGTTGGAAAAAAATAGGGTTTTAGTGTGCTCTTGATACCATGTGAGAATAATGGAACATGATACTCTCTAAGGAGCCCTGGCAGATATATTTATAATAGGAGAGTTTAATTTAAAGTACAATACTAATGGTCTAATAATTCTATTAGTTCTATGGTCTTGCATTGTTTTCAGTTTCAAGATAAATTATCTTGAAGTGATTATTGTCTGAGATTGTTGAAACTCGGTCACTCGTTCCAAG